CGACCCCAAAGCCTGTCCTAAAGCCGGTTTGAAATGGGTCTAGATAATATAGAGAGCCATCAAAGGCAGAAGGGCTGTACCAACTAGCAGCAGCTTCTCTGCAGTATATGATGCTATAAAGCATGAGCTGAAAAAGAATGGGATTCGGCTCTAGACAGTCATACTGTACTGCCTGTCTAGAACAGGCAAGATGAAGAGCAGCTGCCTCCAGAATTCCTTACTAGGCATGAACAGCAAAACAGAGAGAAAAGGGGAGAGCAGATGATCTATTCCTCACCAGCTGTTCCCAGCCTGTTAAAAAAAGCATAGTTTGCTGAAACATGTTGAATCGTTCCCTATTTGTCCCATGTTATTTCTGCCTCTGATACCAAATTTTCTGGTACCAACTTTTTTTCTGTTAAAGAAGTCATTGTTCTTTTTTGTGGTAGAGGAACCTATCCCATAAAGCACACAGTGGTTGGACTGGAAATCATACACTGGAGAAATACGGTAATCCAGTTTGAAACAGCTTTAACTGCCCTGGCTCAATGCTAGGGAATTCTGGGGACTGTTGTTTTGTTAGACGTTTAGCCTTCTCTGGTGGCATAATAAACTATAATTCCCAAGATTCCCTAGCACTGAACCAGCAGTCTCAAACTGGATTATTTCTGCAGTGTGTTTTCTACTTAGATTGTAACTCTCTTTGGACATGGAGAGCAAAGCTGTAGGTTAGCTACCAAATCACTTTCTGAAATCAACTACCTGAAAAACCTCAAAATAATGACTCCCCAGGAGAGAGAAGCCTTGTGTATGCTGTAAGCAATAGTGTGGGAACTCTACAGGCTACAAACTACTGGGCATGAATCCACACTGTCAACATAACAACAGCAGGAAGCCTCTTCCCCACGACCAACTGTCTGCACAATTTACCATTTTACCAATCAACGCTGATCGCTGGCTTGAGCCAATTCTCAGGTTTCAGCAGAATCCTGCAATTCTTTCAGAAAAGAATTTATACTCTAACAAAGAACTAATTGGAAAACGTGTTTGGGAACTCCAGAATGGCACTCTCCCAAGCTCACAGGAGGAGAAAGGGGAGCCGAGAGGGAGCAAAGCTATCTATTCCCATCAGCAAGAGACAGACACACAAAGGGCAGGGGGAGAAAACCAGAATTTGGTCAAAATGCAAGACACATACTTGAACAAGCATGGTGGAAACATGTGTTCCATTTGGTTTTAGTAGGTCAGTGTCTTTTCCTATTTCTACAATGGCTACAACATGAAATTATTACATATTAGGCTGTAGATACTGCAAACCTAGAGTGCTTATAGTTATAATATATGATGTGTATGTGGTGGTTTGATAAGGGTGTACCTACAAAAGAATACATAAGCAAATTGATTGTGCTATCAAGGCTTAAATTAATAAGTTCAAAAGACAGACTGAAGACTAAGATGTATTAAAAGTGGCAATACCTTATTATTTTCTGAAACAACCAAGGAAAGACATAAAATCAATAGACGTTAGATATGTATTTTGCTGACTTTATTCTGTTTGCAATTACTGTTAGAGAAGTGAGCAGGTTCAGGCCTATAGACTCTACTTTGTGTTTCTTAATTAGAATCCTGTGAGCCATCAACTGGAGCCTGATGCAGGAGTTATACACTTAGAAATAACAAATCCTAAGTCTATGAATTTGTTTTGAATACTAGAACAGAAGTGAATTCACTGCCATCCTATGGCAAAAGCCTGCTTTCATGCATTCACATTGCCTTTAATGGGTTAAGCAATTTCTCTCAGTCATGTTCAGTAATGCTGTTTTGAGCTTCTTGCTGATAGCTGGTTATCTCAGAAAGTTAACCAGGAAGAATCTAAGTCTCTCATGTGAACCCAAAAAACAGAGAGGAGGAAAGGGCTCTGTTGCACAGCATACTTCACAAACTGGGAGCACTATGTGCTATGTTTTGTGTTAGCTACTGTACCTGTACTCAGTGAATAGAATATGGTACTTTCTACATTCTTTGGTTCTTGGGATATGGACATTTTACTTGTAAAATCATAGAATCACAGAATCAGATTTGGAAGAGACCTCAAGGGCCATCCAGTCCAACCCCCTCCCATGCAGGAACTCAAAATCAAGGCATCCCTGACAGATGGCCACCCAGCCTCTGTTTAAAGACCTTCAAAGAAGCAGACTCCATCAACCTCCGAGGGAATGTGTTTCACTGTCAAACAGCTCTTGCTGTCAGGAAGTTCCTCCTAATGTTGAGGTGGAATCTCTTTTCCTGTGGCTTGCATTCATTGCTCCATGTCCTAGTCTCTGGAACAGCAGAAAAGAAGCTTGCTCCCTCCTCAATATGACATCTCTTCAAATATTTAATCACAACTATGGCCATATTTAATTTCAGACATTAGCTAAACAAAATGTAAAACAGGATACACAAAGGCTGGCATCCTGTTGATTAATCCCAATGAGAGTAGACACATCCAATCCATTGTTGAATGATGAATCAACACAAAAGTAAATCCAACTGATTTAATGCGTCTCCTCTAGCAAAGACTAATGATAGATTTAGGCCTAAACATAGCAGACTGTTGTAAGTCCAATACTCTCTTTCAAAAAAGTCATTTAAAAAAAAAAACCTCAGCAGTTTGCATCTTTTTGTGCTTCTAGTTCTCCAAGATCAATTTGTTGTTAATTGCCTAAAGCTAACTTCAACTTATGAGAAAAGAAATCGTAATTCTGTACAGTACAACATTACGGGTTGGGAGCATCGGGGTTGAGGGTTGATTTTACTGTATTGTATTTTTTTTATGTTGGAAGCCGCCCCAATTGCTATACAGAGGGGCGGGGTATAAATAAATTATTATTATTATTATTATTATTATTATTATTATTATTATTATTATTATTATTATGACGGGTCAACCTTTGTGCTTATAATACTGGTGAGTTGTTTCTGGTCAATCCATCTGAAAATGACATTTCTGCTTGGTAAAATACTAGAATTGCAAGGCACTCTTTTGTGGCATGACTGCATTTGTGCTTCAGTGGCATTAGTTCCTGTGTTTGCTTTCTCATTCCATTATTGGGTTTTGTTTTTTGCTTTTTTAAAAAAAGGAAGCCTTAATTTTGCAATCACATAATGACACTATTATGGAACCACTTCCACTTCTTATCCAGATCAGAAAGATGAATACAAACCACGCCACTTCTGCCATTTTTCTATGCTATTTCCCACAAAGCAACACTTACCCAGTTCTTTAAACTTTGGGTTATTTTTTTTTAATTTCCTTAACTGTATAGCTCAGGGGTAGGCAACCTTTCCCCTTTAAGGGCCGAGGGACTTCAGCTCCCAGAAGCTTCAGCCATGTTGGCCAACAGTCCCATGTTGGCCAACAGCTCCTGGGATTCTGGGAGCTCAAGTCCCTCGGCCCTTAAAGGGGAAAGGTTGCCTACCCCTGGTATAGCTTTTCTGAGCTTTAATCCTTAATAGGATTAAGTTAGAATTGTGCTATTATGCTACACTCCTTACTTTTTTTAAAAAAAATGTTGCTGTTGTTGTGCGGCTTCAAGTTGTTTCCAACTTAGGGCAACCCTAAGGTGAACCTATCATGGGGTTTTCTTGGCAAGTTTCTTCAGAGCAGGGTTGCCATTGCCATCATCTGAGGCTGAGAGGGCATGTCTTTCCCAGAGTCACCCAGTGGGTTTCCATGCCTGAGCAGAGATTTGAACTCTGTTCTCCAGAGTCACAATCCACTGCTCAAACCACTACACCACTCTGGCTCATTAATTCATCCCATGAATTAGATAATCTTTTTTTTTTTTTTAAATGCTGGGAACAGAGAGAATACACAGTACTTGTCTTGTGAATTTTTTGGAATCCTGGGATCCTCCCAGATGGAAGTAGACTGGGGTTTCCCTGTCGCAGATTCCTGGAGAATTTCCATGGGAGAAACCATGAAACTACACCAACACCACATACACTATGTTCCCATTAGCACAATGAAGCAGAACAAAATGTTCAAACCCAGAATGATTACTATTGGGGTCATTAATGGATTGTTTCAAATAGGAAAAGAACTGATCTCCAAACAACCCAACAGTGGTACTGCATGAGAGCCACAACACTGTGTGATAACTTCCAAACAAAGAAGAACAAAAGCAGTGCGACTGTAGTATAACAGTGTGGTGTGGTAAGCATCTTTATGTCATTCTTCCTACACATCTTGCCAAATAGTTGTGTATTTTACCTAAGGCTCTTTCCTTTAGCCAAATTATGCCAAATTATGGTGATTTGTAAAGAATTCAAGGAGCAAACTTTTTACTTGACTATGAAAACCCTACAGAACAAAGTTGTCTAAAAAGGATGCGACAAGGTTATCGCTTCCTGTTCTGTGTAGTTTGGGAATCTATGCTATGTTAAAAGCCTTTTCATTCAAGAAGCAGAACATTTCATCTGAAAGGGACTGGACGCTTTTTGATGGCAACGAAATCACAAAATCTACATCTAAACCAAAGCCTGATGCTGTGGCACTTTGGTGGCGGGGGAAGCGTAATGTATTTTCTTCGTGTCCTTCATTTCTTCAACTCCTTTCTTCTACAGGTGCGGGAAACTGTGGCTCTCTAGCTTTTCTGCCCTACAGCTCCCATCAGCCCTAGCCAATAAAACTGATACTAAAAGATTATGGCGATGCGGTCCAAGATCATAGCTGCTCACAGGAAATTTTTAACTCAGCCCAGACAATCTCATACTGTGTGGTTTTCAAACTATTTCGCTTTATTCAGAAAATGTTTACTCTGCATCTAGATCACAGAATCATAGGATTGGAAGAGATCTCAAGGGCCATCGTGCCCTACCCCCTGGCATGCAGGAATACACAGGTGTTTTCCAGGTGTTTTTTTTAATGAAAAACAAAGGAGAAACAAAGCATGCTACAATACATAACACACATACATGATTATTCTTAAGAGCTGACTGAACCATTAGGAAGAGTTACATTGATATGAGAAGGGGTTAACAAACATCTTGATAATTCAAACACCTGTATCTCCAGGTATATGCCAACCTCAATTGAGAATCCAATAGAGATGGAAGCAAAATTTAGTTCTCAGAGTTAATTCAACATCTCCTCTTGACTTCAATGTTAACCGCTTTAGAGGAAATTTGTGGCACAAACAAGATCTCTGCAATATTTTCAGAACTAACAAGCTGATAAAACAAGGAAACACTTGTTAGTCTTTAACACTATTTTTATGTTCAGTGTAAAAAGATTTGTTTACACCTAGAATAGGGTCTCAAGTACATTGAAATATATGCCCGCAAACATTATGAGACCAGATATCCTTCTCTTAGTCGCCTGCGTACCTTCACCTCCCAGGATTGCAAACAGGATGTTGACTCAGTAGGCTGGCTTTGCACCATTTGGCTAGTCAAGCTAGTACAAAAGCTACTGAAGTGCATTTAGTAGCATTAAGGACAAGGGGAAAGAGAGAAGAATAAGAAACAAAGCAAAAGAAGGTTCAGCACCTCACTAGAGAGTGTGCATTTGTCAGGCTGACCTCAGCGTTCCACCTCAGGCATGGAGGCAACCTATTTCAGGCTCCATTCAATGTTCCCTTCCAAAAAAAAAAAAAAAACCAGAAAGAAAGAAAGAGAGAGACCAGAACACTCTGCTTCTTCAAGAGAGCCCCTCAGGTCACATATAACCTCATCTATACCCGTTCAATGTGCTCTTCACATGTGGGATGCAAGAGCACATTCCTCTCTAAATGGATTGCTCTTTTTGCAGGAGATAAGAGTAACTCTTAGATACGCTTAAAAGCTGACTTTTCAAGCCGCTATTTATTCCACTCAGGATTTCTGTGGATTTGTTTGTTCATTCGTACCCACGCTTACAATTCTAGGCTGCAGTGCAAGGTACCGATAACATTTAATCTATCTCATGTTAAAAAAATCTAAAGATCATCAGGTTGATAACCCTAAGAGTTAATACAAAGTTGTACTGAAGAACAACTTTGGATGAAACAGATTTTTACATCCAGCCAAAACTCATATTCTGAAAGATTTGTAACAATCTCTTTCAAAGGGATCTTAAATTGACACTACCTTGGAGGCACATTCCATTTTCTGTGCCATTTTAGAAAAAAACAATTTGACCAAGTATGGAGAATACAAATGTAAACCACAGCTTGCCCTCAAACATACTTTCTATAGGTAATTGGGGGGTGGAATGGGTGGAGAATAATAATTTAAGATAGCACATTACCACTTTCAAAAGGCTGAAACAGAGATAGAAGGTAAAAATAGAGGAAAGGCAGAAATGGAAGATATCCACAAACTCCAGCCCACTAACAGTGGATTGAACAGAGACAATGGTTTCCTGGCATTGTTGTTGTTATTAACTGCCCTTGAGTCGATTTTGACTCATAGCGGCCCTATAGATGAGATATCTCCAAGAAGACCCTCTGTCCTCCAGTGCTGTGCTTAATTCCTGAAACCCCTTAATACCCGTGACCTCCTTAATAATAGAGTCCATCCATCTGGCATGTGGCCTTCCTCTCTTTCTACTTCCTCCACCATTTCCAGCATTATTGTTTTTTCCAAAGAGTCCTCTCTTCTCATGATGTGTCTGAAGTACAACAGTCTCAGTCATCTTGGCTTCTTCCAGGGAGGTTTCTGGTTTGATCTGCTCTAGGACCCATTTGTTTGTCCTTTTCGCTGTTCATGGGAGCCTTAGCACTTTTCTCCAGCCCCACATTCTCTCAAATGCATTGATTTTCTTC